TATAGATGTATATATAGATGTATATATACCAGTTCAAATTTTAGGGCACTGAACGTTCATTGCAATATGCACAGAAAAAGTACACATTCTGATACTTTAAGACATTTGTTTAGGACTTGCGATGTACTGGGGTTACATTTTTTCAGCGCGTAAGGATTGGCCTAATTGATTTGTGGCATAGTGTGTGGGCCGTAGGTGTTCAAGCACACAAATGAATATATTATTGTCGGTACGGATTATGTCGCACATTGATCGAGTTTGCTCGAGAACAATGGTCATGAAACTTCGGCTATATTCTGATTCTGATTAAAATTATGAGCAACAATCAGGTCAGTCCAGCATTCCACTCACAGCGCCTACTTGGGTTTCACACGCTTTGGTACAGATTCTGAGTGCACCTATATGGAGCGATCGAACTCAGAACTACATTGGAATGTTCGATGTCGCAGATATGATGGCTTTTCTATTGAACATATTCGAAGACAAGCAGAAAACCAATCAGATGAAGGATCTCAAGTCCATGATCGCTGAGGGTATCAAGAGGTAAGTTTTCAAGAATGCTTTTAACGCTCCGCTGCGTGTTGTGAACTCGTCTGCTTTTGGTGAGGTTATTAAACGAAACAGCAATCACTCATGAGATCACGAAGCGCCCTTTAGTACTTATTGGTATGTATTTTTCAACTGAATATCAGAAAAATTTACGATGCACATTCGTGCTCGATGATTAGTCGTGCAACTTTAATAAATGTGCATACTTAACATAATTGTCCGATGCTGTATTTAATAGTATAATGAGAGATACGGTGATGCATACGTGATTAAACAATGACTGTTTGTTTTGTAGAACTACAATGTGGCTTTCAGTTTTGTAGAACGACAATGTGGCTTTCGGAAAACCGGGTTAAATGTGCTTGTAAAATGGCATTTGGTGTTGGAATGTGTACATTAAATTCTATGCAAATAGTGCATTAGTTTGATATGTAGCATGTTACCATGTACCGTGATATTCTCGTCGTTCATCGTGCATCACTCGGATTTGTGTTGAATAGCTTTATTTTGTGAACAGAACCCGAGGACCAATTAATCTGTGCTATGATGGCATAGCTTTAGGGTATCCTATGATATATTGGCTGACTCTATACTTCTATTGGCCTTTGCACCGTATTCGAAATCTGCTTTATGCCTGTACAATACCTCATCTATGTTTTGTAGTGTATACGACGGCAAGACTGTACCATTGTACACTCGATATTTCGCAATCAATATACATAACTCCTACCGCATTTTCTCGTACTGAGGCGTATGCCAGCACTCTCTTATAGCCCAAATCTGTCACACAAAACTAAACGTCTATGTGCACGGTGACGTATCAATACACATGACTCCGCCCAACCTAAAATTGAACCTCAAACGCCAAATCCATTGCACAGCATGCCCGTTCCGGTCAAATGGGTGTCTGACCTGTCCCTGCGCGACCCACTACGTACAGTCAATGCGTCGGACCACATAGAGACCGCTGTGGCCACCTTTGCCGAGGGTGTACACCGAGTTTGTGTGCTGGATGATACCGGTATCATCATCGGCGTGCTTACACAGACGGCCGTGGCGCACTGGCTGGAGCAGTACACTGAAGAGCTCGAACCTGTCCTGCGGTTGACTCTGGATGATTTGGACCAAGGGAAGAAGGCGGTATGTATAGTCTACGTGTGTGTGTATACTCAGGGTGTGCAGTGATGGTTCGCTGTCTGCGGCATGTGTGATGTATGTACTGATTACCGTTTAAACACATTGTCAGACCGTTATGGTGGTCCTAGACAGTGGTGTTGGGCGAAGACGTCCGCATACGAACAAGTCGTTTCGAAATACGTTTCTTGCGAGTGTACTGCAGTTGGGTGAGATCCGCTTACCATGAATGTCCGATAATCTCACTCTGCTCAGAGCCTCTTGAATTAAACTGATCAAACATGGGATTGTGTACTTTTGTAGAATTACAGATTGTCAAGCATAATTGGATATATAGAACATATCTACAAGTCTGGCCAGTATAGCGCCAAAACGACGTGCACAGCAGCACCTGCTGAAAGGCTCTTTCGACACCGAGTTTACACATTGTGGTTTATGCATCTATCACAGACCAGGGCGTGTTCACATACCGGCTCCATACATAACACCATGCTCGATCTCTCCCAAAAACAGATCGTCAGCGTCAATGGAGACGACACCGTGCTGAGTGCACTCGCGCTTATGCAGAAGGAGCAGATCTCGTCGCTGGCAATCATAGGCCAGTGCGATACGCTTATTGGAGCGCTGTCCATGACTGATGTGAAGTGGATTGTCTCCACATTCGAGTTCGAGTGGCTCTGGAGGGACTGTCTGGATTTCGTAAACATGCTGCGATCTACCCAGGTACGCAGTTTCTGTCTTGTTTTGGGGTGCGTTGGATAGTTGATGAGTTCTGGTTGGCGTGACTACCCAGAAATGACTATCTTTATCGCATGAGTGCTCCTTAGGTTTTGTCTGTCACCTTCCGCTTCCGTGAAATACCAAATGCGTGCCCAGTTACAAAGCGTTTTTTTTTTGTGGGATGGTTCCTCGAGTTCCTATCTGTTTTTTTTCTTCTTCTATGAAATTCACGACCGTATCTCATTCTACTATTAACCCTCCCCCCCCCCCCTACACACACACACACACACACACACACACACGCATACGTACAGGCTATTCGACGAAAACGAAGGACAAACGACCTCCCGCACCAGTCTTCACACGTCCGCAGAGACTACCGCTACTTCATTCGCACTGACGTAAGATGAGAG